GTTGTTTAATAATGTATTATACTTGTATCGGATGTATATAAGGATTACACATCCTTATATACATAACTTAGATATTTTAACAATAAAACAGAGGTTAAAAAAAAATTACATACAAATATTTACAGAATTTTAAATGTATTCTTCGCCACTCTGATCACAAGCTCAAGCATTTTAATTTTTCAGAACAATAAGTTTTCCATGTGAGCTACACGGAGACGTGTGATATACGACTCAAACGTCACTATACAAAAACTTTGTGTATGACAATTCAACAATTTATAAACCATAGTGACTTACAATTTAGATGTTCAAATTAAAACTGTTATTAAAAAACAGCTATAAGGTAATACTGTTCATTCACAACAAACATGCAATTTGTTTTTTTGCAGGGAGCGGTTTAAAGACACCAGATCTAGATGAATTGTAAACTAGAGTGACTTACAACTTAAATCTTCAAAATAAAAACGTTACTAAAAGCACATGTGTAAAAAAGATAAGTTATGAATAAATAAAAACACTGTTACATTGTCTCCATTAAAATATATATAAAGAGTATTCAGTGTTCTACAAATATCAGTTTATACACAGTGAAAGTAAAATTTTTCGAGAAACGGAATATCATTGAAAGTGAGGGAAGTAAACAATTAGTTGTAAGAAAGCTATATTCCATTTTTTTTCTTGACACATTTTTTTTGTTATATAGTTATTATAATATTATTTTCCATTAATGTATTACACATAAGTGTTACTAAATTAATATTATTTTATACTGTTACCTTACTATATGAATTTAGGGTTAATTCTAAATCACTTAAGCAGGTTGAGTCATTGAGATGTTATTGGAATTACATTTAAAGATAACACCAAGAGCACTGGTATCTACATGATGAATCAATGAATTCTAATCATAAGATATACAGATTTCTTGTTAGGTTGGTTAAGTTAATTTTCAGTTCCAATTCGTACAGGTAGCCTGCTTCGATCTGAGGTTAATGACTGTTAAACTAGATGTAAACCACTATAAATACACGGTGGATCACTAACTTATCATGGAGATATCTTCTGACTCCAAGGGCAACAATCTTCATGACAGCTTCCAAAATAAATACTGCAGTGAAGAAGTAGTTGAAAATTTTAAGGGCATAAATAAGTTCCTAGAAGGGAAAAAAAAAAAAAGTTCAAGAGAATGCTACAAATTTCACTCAAGTTAGCTACATGTGGTAGATTTGCTTGTGAAAATATGTTTAGCTAGCAGTAACTTGTGAGTTAACTCATTAGATCCGTTGGTGCTTGAGAGGTTCCAAGTTTTACCTCACTTATGGGAGATGCACGACAAACTTAAAAATGAGAGAAAGATAAAACAACAAATAGACAATAGTAACTACATTATAAGAAATAACTCTTCAAGTAATAATGATAATGAAGTAAATCCACAAAACTGTTAAGTAAAAGGGTGTGTGTGTGTAAGTACATATGTGTATAACATTTAAAGAAACCATTATTTAATGAAGACGACAACCAACTTCAGAACAAAATGTTCAATTACTTGAACCCGACGATTCGGCTTACGCCTTTATCAAGGGTCTATGAACATCACGGGTTACCAAATACACTGAAAATTTTATAAAATAGTAATATATTTAAAGAAATCTTTACTATTAAAGAAGAATATTAATAGACAGATGTGCATGTACAGTGCACGACATGGTTCAATAAATCAATAATAGATCAATATCACAGAGAAATATTAATATGGTGATAAAACATTTTCATGAAAGTAACATCATCAACACACAATGAGGATTTTTAAAACTATTCATTTTCTTTACTGAACCTAATAAAACAACCAACTAAACACTGTCCCTAATAATAATAATTCTCAGGCCTAACTCGAACACATTTTGGCATATGATTATTACTATATATTCACTAGTAAACTGGCACACTGCTCTTAAACCTGAATTTTTTTTAAAAAAACCCTTCTTGCAGAAACTATATCAATTTTTTAATTTCTAATTTTTCCACATGCGATTTATTCTATATTTGTTTTATGTATTTACGACTCTACTAACTGTATTTTAATTTAGCAGGAAAATAATCAGATTAACATTACTCTTAAACAACCAACATGCATGACATTAAACCATTCAACTATATAGTAGTATCATAGTATGTATGTCTTTATAAAAAACGTTTTAGCTAATAAAAAATTATCAGTAACTCCAGAACATACCACAGGCATCATATAGAACTCCATGGCCATGGTAACTACATTCAGACCAATCACAGCTGCTATTGCCAGATCAAAGTACTTGCTGGTTACAATATTATGAATGAAAAGTCGTGGCTTGGAGAAGTTGATGTAGTATGGGGGTTCTCTTATTTCTAAAATAAAAAACATGTAATTTAAACAATAATTGTTGAGCTTTCCTCCTACAAATATGCACAGAATAACTCATACCACCATATACCTTAAAATATGGAAATCATAAAAACTGTCAGAGTTCGAAAGCAATAAAATGAACAAACTAAACATTAAAGAAGCCATTCACAACGAATAACACAAGTAATGCATAACACTCAGTCTTTAAAAATAAGAACAATAATTAATAAACTGAATTCTGGTAAACTATAAGTACAGAAATGTAACAGAGAATGTTTTTTACACAAATCAAAATTTTCATATTAACAGTCTTAAAATAGCAGACCTGCACAAATAACTTGAGTATACATTCAACATTAAGTTAAAGTTTTAGACAGTAAGTATTATTCTAACGAGTACGTGAAGCATTTGAAAAAATCAGATCACTCATGCTACTTATATTATATATATACAGTTAATGCTCAAATTCAAGATATTTTGTGAAAGATTAGGAACAGAAAGACCTGATATACTATATAGGCATGTTTTTTATTTCTTTTCATTTGTACATTTAATTAAAAGTTAAATGTTTTCACATCACCCACAATACAACGAATTTGCCCTTTTACAATTGCTTTTTTTATTTCAACTGGCTAATAGAACAAGTTACTGCAAAACGACAATCTCTATGGAATTAGATATTTGAACTGAGCTATTGTATTTACACAAATATACTACTGAGCCAAACTCAGTAATTAAACAGATTAAATTCTTCTCAAATTGTTTCAAGTATGTCTCAATTGCAGTGAAATAGGAAATCATAATTATAGCACGTACAGAAAGCAGTCACATACATATATATGTATATATATATCAGATCTCATTAGTCCTTTATGTTTCTAATACTATCTTATAAATACACGTAAATCAGTAAAAAACAAAACAAAAAGAGTGGCTCCCAAAAACGTGCAGTGATGATGCATCAAAAGAGTATGTTATGTGTAACATCAGGCAATCTACGGTGCATTTTTCTGCTGTAAGCATCTAATCTACTCAATTCATTTTCTCATTCCAATAAGTCATAAAAAAATTACTGCATTCTAAAGATCTATCTGAAAACCAGTCATGCCAGAGATCAAACTAGAGAACCTGAGAGAACAATGCAACATGTACTAAGCCCTTTTTAATTCCAATGAAACAACATGTTGATACAAAGGAAAAAATAAAATATGTGAGACAAAATATTCCAAGTTGAAAACACAGACATCTACTGAACAACAATAAAAGAAAATCACTACAAACCGTCTGATCATAAAACTTTGGGTAATTAGATATTTAGTTACCTAAATGTATATTACCTTAGGTACAATCTGACTTTTGGCTGGCTACCTCAGTCAGTATATTTTACAGAATCGTTATTATTACGTGATTTTAATTTAAGACATAATAATTAAGATAACTTTAAGACTAATCAAAATTTGACATTTGTTAATTAGTGTTTCTAATGAACTTTAATCTATTGTTTGTAGTTAAGGAGACACAGTATGCACAAATGTAGCATAAATTGACAATATATGTCTCCTTAACTACAAACAAAGTATATAGTATGCAAAAAATGTGGCTTGGTAGATTTTGAAACATACGATAATCACCTGTAACAACAGTTCAATCTAAATCAACAAAATCCCCATTTATGTATAGTACTTTCAGCTACAAGAGATTTGCCAAAGCTTTCAGATTTTCATGATTATGAAATAACTTACAATTTGTATACATTTTAAAATGACTAATTACATCTCAAAACAATACGGTCTTAGTTCCATCATTGCATCCAAATATCTAACAAAACTTATATTTTAGTTTCTAAACTACTTAAACAAGTTATATTTCAGATAAAAATATATTTTGTTCCTAGATATGTCTTTTCCATAAGAATTATTGAAGCCCCCGATGATTTCTATCCCTTTACTTATGCACTCTAAATTACACTTATTTGATTACTTTTTATAAGAAAACAATTCTTGAATAATAAGAAGGATGCTTAGATTACACGTATACAAAATTAATAATACTATGAAGTAAACCACTTTTATTGCATTTCTTTACAAACATTTTATTAAACATGAAATAAATCATAAAATATCCATATATGTAATAAACCGTCTTTGTAATAAATGAATTAGAATCTGAATGACATTTATTATCCACCATTAACTTGCTTTAAAAAAACTTTAAAAGAAATTTCAATTCTATTCAAGGTTTGGAGTTTTCATAATTAATTCAATACACTGAAGGAAATGAGTTAAGAAAGAAAGCTGACTGAGGAATGGCCAGCCAGAAGTTTCAAACTGCACCAAGACTGAGCCTGGCTTTTTTTTGGGCTTTTAGTAGAAAATGTAGTCTTTCTGTGTGGTTAGTGTCAAACAGATAGAAAGCTCAAACTTCTCCTGTAAGAAAATGTAAAACAAGTGATGATTAGCTACAGCTAGTAGAATAAAAAGATCAATAAAATGAATGTTATGGAAAAATTATAGAACACAGAACAACATAATCATATTTCTTTTGATAAAATGTAAAAATTTGCTAGTGAAGTACAAGCAGACAAGTGTTGAAAACATAAAAGCAATGAAATGTTTGAAAACCAGGAAAAAGAGGGTGATTTAACAAAAGAAGCATAATAAAAGTTCTGAAAAAGGTGTTGTTGTTTTTTTATTGAGACATGTGGCAAGGCTGAGAGAGTGCTTCGTTATGATCGTGGTGCAAACACTTTGTTTAAATATTGGTAAGTTATATATATATATATATAGAGAGAGAGAGAGAGAGATTGAAAACTAATTTTTTTTAAATATGCAAAGTAAGCATTCCATTTCATAAGAGAAAAATATTGCAATTAGCACGAAATTGTGAAACTGTATTAGCTACTTTGAAAGATGGTAAAAACAAACAGTAGAAATTAGTACAAATAATTTCTCAGCCTTGCCATGCCCAGCCAGGCTCAAGTCGAAACGTAGACTACCGACCATTTAGTTTATTCTCCATACTTCGCCGTTTCTTTTCCAATTTCCATGCACGTTTTGCAGCTCGGCGAGCCTTCTCTTCTTTTTCTTGTTCCTCTCGGCAACGATGAAAATTTTCAACTACGACACCAACAAACATGTTCAGAACAAAGAAGGCAACTAGAAGGAGGAATGATATGAAATACACTAGTCGCCACTCGTTGTAGTTTTCAATGGGCTGTAGAAAATAGATGGAAATTAAAAATTAGCATACAGTGTACAACATATTATTCAGATTTATTTACAGAAATAAAAATTATTATGCATGAGTTTGTTAAATTACCATACAAAAACTTCCATATGGTAAATGTTATACACATGTGTAAAACAACTGCAACAACGAATCCAGCCGCATATTTCTTAATATACGCTTCATGCAATTTGTTTTCAATATGTTTTAATTAGACACAGAAAGGCACTTTGATAATGCATGAAAAGAAAAATACCTACCAATGTGAATGAAACAGCACATTTACGAATATTTATTGACAATATTTTAAAGAATCTCACATATTTTATACTATGAGGTCATGGAACATCATAAGATCTTGAAAGAAGCGATTTTCAATTTTTTTTTATTTTTCAGCTGTTAATAAAGTCATAATTATGGGTGATTTTTATTTCAGGCATATATAAATTGGGAAATGTTATAGTCAAACCATGAGGGAGAAAGGTTTTTGGAAACTGTTCAGGATGGCTTTCTTCACCAGTTAGTCAAGGAACCTACTAGAAACATTAACATTTTAGATTTATTGTTAACTTCAAATATAGAAATGATCAAGAGGATGGAAATTGGGGAACATCTGGATGCAAGTGATTATTGATCTATTAGGATCAATGTTTTGGTGCATATGGAAATAAGGAATAATGATATTTTGGTTACAAATTTCAAAAAAACAAATTTTGAAGTGATGTAACAAGAATTATCTGTTGTGAATTGAGCAGCTGAGTTATTTGGAGACACTGATCAGATGTGGAAAATTTTTTGAGATAAGTTTTTAAATATTGAAGGTAAAGGGTAGCTGCAAAGAAAAAACCAGGTTGGCTCACAATAGGTATAAGTGATAAAATTAAAGAAAAGCATCACAAGTTTAAGAAATATAAATTAAAAAAAATATAATTATAATGAAAAAAGTGATTTTCAATGAACACATCTTTTTTTAATTACATCTTGTTTTTTTTAATGTCCCATCAACTGATAAACTTATATAGTAAAATCTCATAATTAAAAGCACCCTTCTGACTGCATTCAAATGCCCTTAATATAAAAAAAAGCCACACAAAGCTGGGTTCCATATTAACAATACTAAATTTTAAGGTCTCCCATTTTATTTGGTGTATGCAGGACACGGGTTTTCATGAGTTGCACATTGCCATGACATGGAGTGTTGTCAACAGGAGGTCTCGGTGGGTGGATTAGATGTGCCCTTTTTTCTTTATTATTGGTTACAAAGTTTCAAAGCACTTCTCTTTAGAGTTTGAACTGCTAAACATTTCACATTTAGTTCCCTTGTTTATTTTTCCATCAATAACTGAAGTAGAAATCCGCTGAAAATAAAGCAACAAATCACCATTTGTTATTAGACTGTTTACGTGACACCGTAATAGGATACTCTAGAGAGCAACAAAGCACGCACACAGAAATAAGCTGACTTGTTCCGAGAACACAATGTAGAATTTATTAGCTTACGTAATAAGACTACACTTTGAATCTGTGAAAACGTTTATTACGGTAGAGGGTTCGGATCCAATCCAATAAACATCCCAAGTGTTTGAATATTGGTCATCCTTCTGGGATGTTTGGAATTTAGTGGTATACTGTACAGGCATACAAAGATAACTGCTCGTTTTATCGATTACTTGTATAGAGAACGAGACTAAAGACACCGCCCTTAATCCGGAATATCGAGGTGCCTGTTATCGCAATACATATTTTGGTTACAAATAGTAGAAAGAGACCGAAAAAGTCTGCCCTTTATGGTACAGTGCCCGTTGTTTCAAGGTGCCTGTAAATCGAGATTCTACTGTACGATACAAAAGACACGAAAAAATACAAAATCACAAATTATATTCCACATTATCTCCATTACAATTCATGTAAGATATATTAACATTTATTTTTTACTCTTTTTAAACTATAACACTCCAAGTAACATGATAATGATTTTGCTTAATCAGGTAATAAAATATAGAAAGCATATTGTTTTCACAAAAATATGTGTGGATACAATAACTATTCAGGAAAGATGTAACCCCCTTGCTTTTCGATAAAATAAATATAATTTTCTGTAATAAGTTTTTATAAAATATCAAAACGTTTTCCTATGGCATTATACGAACAGTAGGATTATGTCTGATCAATTATTTGCTTTTAGTAATATATATATATATATATTATCCATTTATAATTAATGTAATCTAAAGAATACTAATGTGATAAAATAATACTTTGTTAGAGGACAGACAGTTTATTTTTCCATAGTGAAGAGGAAAATTTTTGGACTTAAGTCCCCAATTCATTTACGAGATAAACAGTGAGCTACAATATGGCAAACTCTGTGTTCTTTAGTGAAATATCCTGAGTTTGTTTTTCTACATAAATGATACATAATGCAGATGGTTAAACCCAGCCTCCATTTCTAATTGAAATAAAATTATTAATATAATTACAAATGGTAACAGAATCATTAAAGCTATCTGTGTCCATGTTTTGCTTTATGATGCATTTGCAATTAACATAGAGAAATAAATTTTGTTCTTAGTAACTGTTGACTATCTTTTATGCTTGAAACTATCACAAACGTTTCATACTAATGTCTGAGTGTAAACTAATCACTTAGTATAAGTACATACCTGCTGATCTATACCAACAGCATCCAGTCCTGTATACATAATATTAACCCAGCCATCTTTCGAGGACAAAACAAACAATGCCATAAGAGCCTGAAGATAGAAAACAAATGAACAAAAAAAATCATTAAAACACAAAATCTGGTGCTGTGTTTTGAAAAACTTAAAAACATTTGAGTGTAAACCAAAAAAAAACAAATACCACACTCATGTTTGAATAATACTACATTCAACTGTTATGAAATCTGGTATTGTATTTTGCAAAAACTTAAAAAGAGATCTTTTTTTTTATGTTTACCTATCTTTCCATTCTTATCTTTTCTGAGACTTCATTTGACATCCAATAAAACATACATAACTGTTCTGTATCATTGGGATTTTAGATTTACCTAGGGATTCATATCTTGAATGGTTTTTGTAACAATTGCATTACTTTGCTTTCAAGTTTATACCAGGAATTACACCCGAGTTAAAACCAACCAGAAAAATAACAGAAATGTAACTAATGGTAAAAGCAAATAAAATAAAATTATATGAAATTTAAAACAACATAAAATTATTTTTCTGTGTAAAAATTATTTCTTGCCTTCTGTACTTATGACATATCATTATAGCAATGAGTAGCCAATAATAAACAAAAACACTTATTAAAGCAGTATCATTATCATTCTTAAAATAATGATGAAGTTATGAAAATTCACAAGATTCTAGAAAGCTATCTAATGAGAGAGGCACAGCTATTCTAAGGCCCTGCAGTTACTACAAGACCTTATAGTAAATAACATGATCTTAGTAGATGGATATTTTCTCATCCTTTAGGATCTTAATCCCAACTAGCTGGTATTTTTGTAAGCCAAGAATTTTTACACCCAGGTGCTTGGCCCAGTTGACAACCATACAGGACAAGCATGTTCAGTGATGAGGAATTCAACTTGCAACCCTCAGATTGCTAGTTGAGTGCCCTAACCACGAAGCCTGTAGACAGAATTACAGTATGAAATTTTACACAATAAACTATGTAAACTTTATTGAATAAAGGTATAGCATGCACTGTATATGTATAATTAATGAATACTGAAGATAATGACACAGATTATTATGTTTTGATAATATATATAAATATATATTAATAATATTATTATACGAACAACTCATAAAGAGAACACCATCTTATACCAGTCAAATTTCTTGTGTTTGCCAGATAAAACATTTTTTCATTCATAATTTGGGGAGGAAAAAGCATTACTTGTGCTATGATTAAGTACTAGCTTCTGAAGTCTGTCAAGATTTTAATATTATAAGAGCATACTGTACCTGCCCCAGATTGTCAAAATTATACTTTCGATTCACCCATTCATTACGAGGATCTGCTGCTAAACACTGAGTTTTGTTATGTACATCCTTCAGAGTTGGTCCATCACAGTAGTAAAGTTTCCCTTTGAACAGCTATATCGAACACAAAAAGTTTCAAGAGTATTTATCAGTAACTGTAGTTTTCGTCAATTAACAATTTTTTGACGTATTATGACACCAAATTCATTTTAATTTAAATCATTCCCAAAGTAAATCAAATTCTCTCCTAATGGTTAAAGCACTAAAATTTAGGGAGAAAGTTCCTATTTTTTAATGCATACACACTCACACACACAAAATTCTTATTTATTATAAGCTCTAATGTAATGCATAAGTGATTGACTTGTTTCGTCATTTAATAAAGATTTGGTTTTTACAGTACTGCAGTGCTATTGTTCATTCTTACTTGAACTCCCAGGATGCCAAAGATAATGAAGAAAGTACAGCAGATAAGAACAATATTGCCAATTGGACGAAGGGAAGATAGTAGAGTTTGGACAACTAGCTTTAGTCCTGGAGCTCTGTTTATCACCCTGAAAAAAGATATTGAATTTTATTAAAACTTACTGTAGTATTAATGGCAGTAATCATATCATTTCCAAAAAAAAGTAACACATTTAAAACATAAATGCAACAAAAAGAAGTTAGCATACACTATACTTAAAAATGCACTTCGCATCTGAATATTATTAAGCAAAAATACATTTATGTATTGAATATTATAAAAATAAGAAAAAACTATTTGTTTTAACCAGTAAAAACATATTCATCATTAAAAAAAACAAAAAACATAACCTATTACTCCAGAAAACGTAGCTGTGTTTATATAAGCCAACATTTTGCAATTACAGCTTCATCAAAATGTTGACTTAAATAAAAATGGTTATTTTTCTGCAATAATAGGTCATGTTTCATTTATCTTTTTAATAATGAATACAACTTTACGACTTGCACTTCTAAATTTAAACTCTCATAAAATCTATTTAATATTCTGAAACATTTAAATTTCAGTGATTTTCAAATTATATTATTTAAAACCAACCTCAATGGACGAAGTGAACGAAGAAGCCGAAACACTCGCAAGATTCCAAAAATTCTAGGACTGCCATGTGCCACAAAAGACAAAATAAAATCCAGCAAAGAAATTGAAACCAAGATTCCATCCATTACATTCCATCCACTTTTTAGATAAGCATTCTCTCCATACCAAAGGCCTTTGGCTATTACCTGAGTAAATAACCAAACAGTTAATCATTTGACTACACTTACAGATGTAAATACAAGTATGTGTACAACAGAACATCGAGCTATACCTATACAATCTCTGATTTTAAAATATTCTTCTGCTGTTTCTGTTTGTCAATCATAAAACGATAGAGATTGGAATCACCAGTAAAAAAAAACAACTGGTAAATACCAAAAAAAAATCTATAGAAATTTGCAGTTTATGGCTTAGTTAACTTAATTCTTACAAACTTTGATGTTCTGTTTAAATTAAACAAAACATTAAGTGTTCTTGAACTCTTGTGAAGATGTAGCATACATTGGGATTATGGCCAAAAGATATTAATAACAGCAAAGGTACACATTTGGTCAATGTGAAAATATATATCTTTAAATCCCCTCCCCCCAAGTGGTGGATCAGCAGTAAATTTATGGAGGTACAAAGCTAAATTCCAGAGTGCAGATAGTTCAATGTGTAGTGTTGTATTAAAACACAACACAGAGCACTTAAGATCTCACTTATAAATGAAAAATAAATTACAATTATCACTTTGTAATACAGAAATATCACTTCCCACTCTTGTTTAAGACTACTATGCTTTAATACTTAATAATACTATGCATATAAAAACTAATTTCACTCAGGACAGTCGATTTAGACATATTTATATCTATTCCTTGCATTCTTAATTAGTAATAATTAGATGACATCAATTGATATTAACCAAATTATGATCAGAGCAACAAGCTATCTAAAAAGTGAGACTAAAAAATCAATCTAGAAATGAGTAAAGCTAATTAAATATAAGTTTCTTAAGTTCTTACTTGTAAAGACTAGAATGCATTGTTTCATCATTTGAGTATCCTTGCTGCAATCCCAATAGTATCACATAAAGTTTGACTAGCCTAGGATATTTAGGTTAGTCCTAAGTACATATGTTACACTAACAATGAAAATCAACTTGTATGATGATAAAAAATAAAATTAAACAGTAATAAAATTGGATACTTCTTAACCAGTACTGTTAATGAAAGAAAAAATAAAGAAATATGATATAGTATACTTTACTTATGGATCCACAAACACTATCCGTTGACTCCAAGAGATACAATCAATAACCAGATGATACAAAAATAGATCATACACCAAGCACAAGTACTCAACTATTTATATGCTCTAAATTAATCAACAATACTGAAATTTCACACACACACACACAACGAATCTCTGACAATTGCCTTATGTAAAAGTATTTACACTGTTGAAACATAGAATGTGCCTGACGAACTCACTTTAACTGCCATTTCCACAGCAAACACGGCAGTAAAGACATAGTTGGATGCTGTTAAAATCTCTCTTTCGGGACTATCTGGTGGGATGTTGGGTCTCTCCATTGCCAAGGTGATGCAGTTGAGAGTGATGAAAAACAATACTCCATAGTCAAAGTTCTTATTATCAGCAATTTGTTCACAAAGCTGACGAAGTCTAGAATGTGGAAGAAAAAAAAAAATTAACAAGTATCGTAGTAAGGTAATGCAGTTGAAATTGATGGAGGACAACATTCAATAGTTAAATCATTTACTATTCGAATTTATTGCATCTTTAGAGAAGTTTGTTCATTAGCCAGTGAGTTGCACATAAGGATGTTTCAGCCATACGTCTTAATATTTTTGTTTTAATAAATCGATAGATAAGATTGCAAGCTACAGCCCTGACTTTTGTCAGTGGATGTGTCTTTTATACTTCACTAAAAATAGCATTGCTTGTTCAGCTATGATAATTGTTTACATATAAATTGTTTCCTCCTAGTTGTCATCAATTTTGTAGCTCTATTGTATTATTGCAGATACCCAATTTGTGACTAACAATTACAATATATTACAGTGTTAATTATCCAACTTGTATATTTTTATACTCTACTGCTAGTTAAGGCCAAGCTGCACAAATGTTTTGTCAAGTTTGTGTTTTCTATCTACCGACAAGTTTTGTATGATAGAATTTTCAATTGTGCATACCTGTTTGTTGGGGAGAAAAGAAATAGAGAATAATCTTTACGTTCTTTCAAACAGCCCCGAGGTTCGATGAGCCAACAAAGCTATGAATAACAAATAAAGGCAATATCAAAACATATGTAATAATGTGTCAAAATCATACAAATAATATTCAAATAGTTCAGTATTGACTGGTGTAAAATGAACAATTATTTACAGAATCCAAATATCCCAAAACAAACTGTAATTATTTAAAATCGCACAACAAATTAAAACATAACAGCCTAATGTTTTGACTTCCAATGGAAATCTTTTTGAAGGGTCTGACTCATTCCCATCTACGTCAGTATTTACTATCTGTGTCACAGCATTTGACATCTGTAACTCTGTTTGTCAAATGTGGACTTTATCTAGCAATATATGTCATATCCTTCTAAACAACCCCTACCTTCCAATATTTTACGATTTTCTTAATCAATGAAATGATTCCAGTAATGGTACATATTCAGCAAGAGCAGATTTTATTATTTTTTCCATTTTTTTACTGCACATTTATGTTCCCCAATCCTTACTTTTAATATTTGTCAACTTTCTCCATCATACTTAATATCACAGTCTTTAAAACGTGTTTGAAAAATTGACCCAAATTTTTTCTATCTTTTTTTTTATACCAACTTATGCTAAAGAATAAAGAGTAAAGTTTAGTAAGATTTTTGCTTACTCCTTGGGTGTAAGTTAAAGTAATCCAATCTTGAAATTGATTTTGGTTTGGGTGTTTTAAATAAAAGTTTATATTTTTGAAATGCATAAGAATAATTCATTTATAGGATCATTGCAAATACTGTTTGCTCTGTAATATAAAACAATAACAAGTTCTAGTTTTTGAGGTTTTGGAGCACGATAGGGAAAATCAAAGTGCTTGTTTGTATAGGTAGAGTTATGGAAAACACTCGTACCACATCTAAATCTTGGTGTCTGAGTTAACAGACCATCTGAAATAGAAAAAAAAAAAATTTTTTTGTTCTCTTTCTAAAATAAGATGAATAAATTAATTGTTATTATTTAAATATGCTAGAAAAACTGAGATACTTTCTTATGAAAACACACAAAATTTCATTGATGTATCTACGACAAAACTGAATTGGACTTGGTAAAGGTTAATAAAAGAAATTTCTAGATGTTCCATAACCAAATTTGTAACTGAGACTGATACAGGTGATCTCAGGGCTACACCATGAGTTGTCTGTAAATATATGTAAAAAACAGTTGCTTTCAAACAAAATTTCAACCCTCGACTAACTTCGTTAAGCTATAGAAGACAGGTAAATCAATGCCCTTAATTAATGGCTTACATCCAAAGGTAAAGAATGCTGTAAAAGTTTTTGCATCAGCTAGGACTAAACACTTTCCTATATCTGAAGGTAATTTTTATTATCCGTTATTTCTTTTAATTCTCTGAGAACTTTTTGTTAATGTTTGAGCAAATTATCCAATGTAACTTTAGTGTGTTATAAAATATCCAAATCCCAAATTCTGGTCCTTCCCAGTTGTGGAACACGCTTCTGTTGATGTTAAAATATGACAGACTGTAATAGTTTTGAATAATTTCAGTTGAAGAAGAACCTACCTACCTCAGCTGTTCAGATTTTAATTAGTTGTGTTTCAAAATTAATCTGACTCATATATATTTTATATCCTTTGTAATTTATTTACTGATTTGTATTTTCCTCTCTAGATAAGATAAAAAGGCAAGAAACTTTTACATTTATACTAGTCTTGAAATTTATGTTGAAAATAAAACAACAACACTTAATCTGATAAAACTAACTTACGTTTATTTAGCAATAATCCTAGAAATTTAACTGGCTGTATATTGATGTTAGTTTTTAGCAAACCACAGAAACTCCTAATATAGGAAAGTGAAACTACAATAACATTATGAAAAACTAACATCAATATACATGGACCACAGCAAACTCCTAATACAGGAAAGTGAAACTACAATAACATTATGAAAAACTAACATCAATATACATGGACCACAGCAAACTCCTAATATAGGAAAGTGAAACTACAATAACATTATGAAAAACTAACACCAATATATGTGAACCACAGCAAACTCCTAATATAGGAAAGTGAAACTACAATAACATTATGAAAAACTAGCATCAATATACATGGACCACAGCCAACTCCTAATACATGAAAGTGAAACTACAATAACATTATGAAAAACTAAAACCAATATATGTGGATCACAGCAAACTCCTAACACAGGAAAGTGATACTACAAGTACCATTATGAAAAACTAACATCTATATACAAGGACCACAGCAAACTCCTAATATAGGAAAGTGAAACTACAAGTAACATTATGAAAAACTAACATCAATATACATGGACCACAGCAAACTCCTAAAATAGGAAAGTGAAACTACAAGTAACATTATGAAAAACTAACATCAATATACATGGACCACAGCAAACTCCTAACACAGGAAAGTGAAACTACAAGTAACATTACAACAAACCTTTCTTCAAACTAATCTGTAACTGTATGATAACTGAATCAGTCTAACTACAAAGTTCAATGTGTACAATTGATCACATAAATATCCTGACTTTATGAAATACAACAATTAGTGTCTTTAGTATCTTTCTTGTAAATTAAATATTGACATCAGTGTTATCAACATTACAGAAAACTTGTTTTGTTTCATTTGTATCAACTTTTCAAAACTTGATTGCAGAAACCATATACATTTATATGTACACATGCACTGACTGATAACTTTAAAGTGAATAACGTAGCTATAAATATGAACACAAAAATGAATACAAATAAACTTTGTAATAGTATTCAATCATTACAAAAATACTTTGTTCTTAAAAAAACATAATCTTAAAACACGTCAAGATTTTTAATAACGCTGTATTTTTGCCTAAGCCTCTGCTCAGCAAAGAGACTGAATGAACAAGGCACTATTATACACGACTATGAAGCATGTTTATCTCATGTTTATATTATTATGCTCTAACTTGCGAGTAAGACTTTTCAACACAGAAACAAACAAAGACAGAGGCCTACAGACAGGGTTGTCACACACTGGAAATTTGTCTAAATTTTAAGTGTTTATTCTTTGCATGACAGAAATGAATGTCCCATTTTTATTACACATAAAACTAACTAAGTCAAAGTTATTTGATCAAAAATATATAGTACAACAAACAGCCGACCAAACAAATTCACAAATGGCTAAAAGTGCTGTAATAGTTTTTAAGTTTCAGGGAATTCTTGAGAATTCTTCATTAGCTTTAGGCTACTATGAATCTACTTCTATTTTTTATTTTTTAATTAACTGACTTTTTTCAGAATAATTTGGTGTTATCAGAATGCATGCACGGTCAGTCACACTGAATACATTAAGTATTCCTTTAAGTATTTTTCAGTCAAACCAGTTGTCCTGAAAATGAAGAATATGTGCCCATGCCATGAAACACTGTATAAAATAATAAACTGCTTTACCTTTCCACTGAAATGCTTGTCAATTTGATGGCTTCCATTCACAATTTTCACTGATGGTATTTCACCAAGATTGTTGGATTTAAAGTCATCCTTTAGTGAGGAACCTGTAAGGGAGTTTTGTCTACTGGGAATGAAACTGTGGCTGTTCAGGGATTGCTGAGGACTCAGTGTGTTGTGACTTACCACACTTGTGTTAACAGAAGCCTGACGACTGCAAGGAATGTGACTGTAGAGGGCCTCCAGATGAACTCCGCTTGGGGACGGAGAAGAATGACTGTTTAAAGAGTTTTGTGGAGTGAGTGTTTTATGGCTACTGATGCTATTTTGTTTCGATAACAATGGTCGTTTGTTATTTGGGGTGTTGCTTATAGTTGGGAGTCCTCCATTACAATGGGCGTGATCAACTGCAGGACTGAAAAATCAGATTATCCAATAAGCAACAAAGTAATAATTTAAAAAAATTATAATAACATTTGTGTCTTTATTTTAAAATATGTAAACAGATAAATACAAATGTAGATTAAACTGTAGTTAAAATCTCAAGGGATAAAAAAAAGGCATCAATATACATTTCATAAGAACTTTTACAACGTATAAACGAAAGCTCTAAAGATTCATATTGATTAAGTGTAAATGTTTCAAATAATTTCATCAATATTTCCTAAACAATTGGAAACAAATAAACGTAATTTACTGTCAAGACTGCAAGTATAAATGGTACAGGAATTCTAAATTTGTTTATTCAAACACTTTAAATAAGAATTTGTTTTTCCAACATTTGATAACAAAATATTTTTGTAGCTTAATAACTTAAATTAATCAACTATGCAACACATAGATCTATTTTCTCGATGCTACTTCCAGCTAAATCTGTGTAGGTTAACGATATAATTATATTTTAAAAACTTTTAACTAATCTTACCCCTCGTATCATCAACAAAATTGTAACTGAAATATTCATATTTATAATGATATAAATTTCACTCACATTTGTTTTGGATTAACTAAGAAAAAAAAAGAAGTAAAACTTGTTATCCTAATTTTAATTTTTGCTTCTGTCCAGTTGCAATTTTCATTTGTAGAACATGAATATTTCAACTTCCCACTTGTCAACGTACAAAACACAGTTGCAAATTTGGGTCTTTTTACATATTTATTTCTAATTCAAATAATTTGAAAACAATAAATTTTTGAAGATGGTGGCTTTAAAAAAGCTGAAATGCACTTTCTGTCTGAAAATTTCTAAACTTCTAAAGTTAATAAAATCCTATTATATATCATCTGAAAGCATAATTTATATTCCATGTTCCATACAAGTTTCCCTCAAGCATGCTCCTTTTATTTCTTTTATTTCTTAATTTTAAGCTCTTAGTGCTAGTATTCTGGCATGTACTAGTATTTTTTTGAAAGTATAGTCTTAGAGTGAACTTTGCCCGCAGCATGAGCTAAGAGATTAGCAAGGAGTCTTTTGTGAAACAACAGAATATAGGTTCTAAAAGGAGTACTTTTGCAAATAAAAAAATAGTAAGATAAATACTATTTACTTATAGAAGTTTTAATGATACACAAGGTATTTTATTGCAAAAAGGACTTTCAACAAAGTGGGATTAGCACATTAAGCCTTTAGTTGTATTATTACTAATACAATCCTAGCTTTAAAGTCAAGAGTATATTATGTAATATCATAGTAGACAGCTAAGTCACATAGTTTTCTTTTTCATTGCAATATAAATTGCAAATTTAACCCCAAAAATCTATCTTAAGTTTGAATAGTTATCATGTTTTATGTTTTAAGTTACAGATATTGCACTGGGCAGGAAAGAACCAAGTTACATCAACAAAACTTGTATAAATTCTTACTTATTATGACAAACTATGGTTTTGTTGTTCAACAACATTTCTTCCCCATCGGTCACTGAGCCACTGTCAGAATTAACCAAGTTTTCCTTGTCTTTCTTCCATTTCTGCCAAGCTCTCCAACTGCACATGCTACCTCGTCTACGCAGCTTTAATGATCCAGCATTACTATTAAGTGTTGGTGAACGAGACATGGATTCCTTGAGAAATTGAAAATTTGTATGATATCTATGAAACACCTTATATTGAATTCATTTTTATTATTATTTTCAATAGTAAACTCCTAAACAGGACTTGCAGCTTTTTGAACAAAAACAAAATTTTAGTAAATAAACAATACATATATATATATATATATGTATACCCAGAAATATTTTGAAGTTCTAAAACATACTCCCAAAAAAACATTCACTTAGAAGTACTGATATATATATATATACCCATAAATATTTTGAAGTTCTAAAACATACTCCCAAAAAACATTCACTTAGAAATATTGTATATATATAAGAAATATCATGAATACATTTAGTAATGGATTTTATCCTAAATTCACAGAGTTTGGCTATAAATCAAAGCTTTAATACAGACTTTAATACACATTTAAAACTAAGGCATTTTTTAAATACCGTTCGTTTTAATGATGAAGGCATACCGAGATAAAGAAAAATTACCAAATGTCAACATTTATCATTTAGCTTGACATACAACTTGCTAATGTACATGTAAGTACCCTATTTGTGGTTTGAAATATTTAATTTTATCTAAAGAAAAGAGAAAATTTATGAGGTTCCAGACAATCTTGAAAAAGTTTATTAAAGCAATGAAAAAACTGTAATGATCGAGTTTTTTTTCATTATATATGATTTAAAACAGAATTTCTAGTTAATAACATTAAACACAGAAAAACATTTATTGTATGTACTATTCAGCAGCAAGTATAAAACAATCCTTTTGAATATATATATACATATAAATATAATATCAAACATTCTATGATTGTAAGCAGACTCTATGATCACAGTAATAACGATGTCTTTTTGTTATGTAGGTTTTATTCTTTGTTTGGAAAAATTAAAGAAAATTCAGGCATTTAAATGAAATTTCTTTTTTATTTTAGTCTTATCAGTATCAAGGTGTGTGTGTGTGCAATATCTGTTAATTATTTACAAAATTCTCTAGAAAGTTCCAAGTATGAGCCCTTACATTTCTACTGAGAACAGAGGGAGACAGGCTATTACGACGAAGCGGAGGAGCAGGAGAATTACGACCCCTTTGGTCAGAGCCTGCCAAATGTCCACTAACTTCACCAGATGGCACAGCCAAAGTCATGCTGTTTTTATTGTAATTATTAGGAAGGTGTGACAAACTTGGAGTCTGTAAGTATGAAAAGATAATTTATAAACAGTTTAATTACTACAATTGCTGAGTAGATATGAAAAAGGTGAAACGCATAAAATGAAAGGAAGTATGAGAAAAACCCGTGGTCTCGAAATATGAAGAAGAGAGGTTATAAATATTTTGATTATTAGGGTTACTGAACAGATATGAAAAATGCAATATGCATAAAAATAAGGGAGGATATGTGACAATCTTAGGGTTAGACAACCTGTGGTCTCTAAATA